GTAAAGTATAGGGTTGGGCAATGACGGTCTATACCAAGTGACAGTAGCACTGACACTGGCAGGGATTTGGCAATGCTGTTACAATGGGAGCCATCTGGGGCAGGCTTTATAGCAAATTTACAGAACAATCACTGTATTATTATATATCCTCGTACTGTGAAACAAAAATTACATATACTGTGATAAATGATTTTGGCTACATTGCCCACCTTTAAGTGTAATAAACTGCAAATACAGTAAAAGAAGCATGGAGTAAAACTTAGCCTAGAGACCTCTGTAACAGATAAAAAGATTGTGAACTACAGTTTGCCAGATTTGCTGAATTCACTATGAAAGTGGGCCTTCACCCAGAATCACCATCTGCATTGTGCTACTGCTCTACACTGTAGTGACAGACTCTTTTTATTACCACTCACCACACTTTTTTGTCTTTCCATTGTTATGCAGTCCTTCTTTTCTAGTCTTTAACCAGAAGAGACTAGGCATGGCACCACAATGGTTGGGATGGACGCACACTGTCAATCATTGACTACACAAGCTAGTGAAAGCACTTCTTCCTCCTCTTCGCGTATCAAAGCCAATTCTGTAGGGTCAAATCAGTCAGCCACTGACAGCAGATGATAATCTCTCTCATTGTTGCTCTTAGAGCCTTGTTTCTCTTCTCATTACACATGCCTCCTTCAGCACCTCCCTCCCTTCATGTGTTTATCTCTACACCCCCTTCCCCCTTTGCTCCTCAGCTGAGGGTTTGCTCACCACCATGGCACTCTTTCCAGAGCGGATAGCATCATAGATTTCCTCTGCACTGATGCCCTGGTTCCCCTCGTTCACTCCCATCACAGGTCTAGGAGAGACCTGCCTGGATGTCCCCTGGGATTGCTGCTGCTGCTGCTGAGGGGAGGGGTTTGGAGGAGTGGGGATGGGGCTGCTCCCGGGGCTGGACACCCTCAATGCAGCTTTACGCCTGGGTCTCTTGGGTGGCTTGAGATAAAAGAGGGATGGGAGGGCAGCTCAGCAGCGGATTTAAAGTGAATTGATGTTGTGACTGAATTAGTGATAGCTATGGCGAGATCGGGTTTAGGCTAACAGTTACACTTACTATGACGCTGGGTAAACCTTTTTGATCTCTTAAAAGAACGAAGAGATGATCGACAATAATAAAACTTGATCCAATACCATAACAAATTCCAAACTTAAAAAAGATCATAGCCCTGATCTATTCCACTGTGAATAATCTAAAGAAATACTATCTAACCAGTTTGAGAGTGAATAAGATCATTTACCTGTGGTCTAGTCCCTGTCTGTTTTCTCCGCTTCATGGCTTTCATGGAGGGCTCATAGTCACTGCCAAAATCTGAGAAGTCATCCAACTCCTCAAGACTAAAAGACAAGAAAACTAAATCAAGACAAACCTCGGCATCAACAAATAGTGATTACTAAGGATAAAAAGGCTGCAGACCCCAGACGGAGGTCATTATAACATTTTTGATGATTTGAGCACATAATTTACTAATTCATAACCCTCATGTTATTGTAACATTTTGTTGTTGTGGCCAACACTCAGGTCAGTTAGAGAGAATAACTTGTCTGTCAAATTATTTTTCATTATTGTACTTATTTTATTTGTCTGTGTCCCTTCAGCCCTGTCTTTAATACAGCTTTGGCTGTAAACTGGATGTTGTTTCAGAACTCTTTCTTTGCCAGCTAGTTTTAGCTGCTACCGATGCACATATGCTGCTAATGCAGAGCAAATAAAAAACAGCAAAATGTGAGGTCACTATGGCCAATCTCTAAAAGCCATTTGAATCTGGACTGAGATATGTGGATATGTACTTTGAGTGTCCGTTGTTAAACAGAATACTGTGTTATCTTCGACACCTCTTTATCAGGTTTAGCTTTGAAGGACAACACATTGTTTCTGTTAATTAGGGTGCCTTTTAAATTAGCAGAATATGTAGGATTATGTCTGATAAATGCTCCATGGCCAAATATGTTTGACAACTCTCCTAATTTTCCTTTAACTATGTAACAAAAAAATAATTAAATAATAAAAATCAGTGTAACTTAAGGGACTTCAGTGGCTCCGTACAAGTCTGTTAGAATGCGTTCAGATGACCAACTAAATATGAACTAACATTAGGCTTGCATAACTTTACCTGTCCATAAGAGAGTCTCCACTTGTCATTTTCCGTCACAGAGGCACCACAGTCCGTAAACTGGTTTTGTAAACAGGTAAGCTAGTCTCTGTAACACTTTTGCAGCCGTATCACCCAAAGTGACTGTGTGGAGAGGAGACAAAGTTAGCTAGCCCCTTAGAGAAACTAGCATTTGCTAGCTAGCTACTGGCATATCCTCATTTACCGTCATTTATGGTAATGTTCAATCTGACATAAATTATCTAACTTGCACCATGATTCTAAACATGTTTTTTAAACTTTGTCAACCAACTGACAAATTTAAAATACATATCACAAAACAACTGGGACGATTTTTCCTAAATACATCTGATTAATGTTAACTTATAGATCTCATGGGATGCTAAGGTAAAGTTACAAGACACATTAACAGAACACGTTAGCTTTTAAGGGAGTAGCTAGCAAACTACTACGGTGAAAATAAATCAGAGATCATCATTTGGAAATTAGTTGCATCATCTTACCACCTGATAATATATTAAACCGATGAGTATGTTCCTTTCTTCTGAGACTTATCGCAGTTTCTTTCGGTTTTCTCCGTCTTCATTACCCCAAGAGCCTCAAGGGCGCGCAAAGGTACGCAAATAGATACTAGATGCCGATTGGCCAGCGCTTCCACAGCTCAGAAGATGATTGGTTCGTGCAGAAGGTCACTCGATGATCATTGGTCATCCACAACAAGCAGTTCTGCTTTGCCCAGAGCCGTTAATGGCTCTGGCTTTGCCCAAGGGAAATGTAGTACATTAAACAGACGATAAAACCACAGTAAAATTTAATATTTGGTTCAAATTATGAATTTAACTTTCGCTAAATATATAGATAGAGTTTCCCAGGAATTACTACTGAAACCCGGAAATGAGTTAGCATTTTTGCGCGCCTGGTTTCCTCTTCTCAAAGTCAGTGGGTTTTTGAAATGGAGTTTTGGTTAGATGTCTAAAATAAGGTCTGTGGTTAACACACGCTTAAGAGACTTACTCATTTTGTTCTACGACATAAAATACCTCAGTAAATACCCTATTCGTGAACTTAAATGCTTCTATGCGTCTTCAAAAAGGTGGTTGCTAACAAGTGGCTAAATGAGACTACAGAACGTCATCACGCCGAACCGCGACGAACAGGAAGACGTTGTGTCAGGCGACCGTAGTGTAGTTCGTTTATAAACTAGCGTTCGCTTTTTTACTTCTGGCAATTGCATTTATTTATTAGGCTTCAGTAACCATGGAAGAGGTGCTCATTTGTGAAGATTATGTTGCTTAACAAAACGTGTAAGTATCATAAATGTTTGTTTGCCACTGAGCTTATTTTTGCAATAACTTGCTACAGAAAAAAACGTCATCCCTGGGGCGCTTATCACTTTAAGACTGTACCTGTAAAGAACAAAAATAAATAGCCTAGGTAAGTAAATAAATAAATAAATAAGAATACACCCGTAAAATACTTGGATCCTTGCAGTTAATTAGCTTTACCCTCTTTATTGATATTTCTTTTGTAAGTTTCTATATTTACTGTCAAATATTGTGTCTGTGTATATCTTTCTGTCTGCTCTGTCTGTCTGTCCAGATTTTAGGACCCTGAGGTGGATGTCTCAGCTGCTCCCCGCCCCGCCACCGCAGGCTCCTCACCCCTCTCTCCCCTGTTGGTCCTCCTCTGCACGGTCCATTGTTCTGTATTTGATGGGCCATGACCGCAGTCAAACCTGCCGGGGTGAAACACACAGCTTCTGGTCCGAACCTTTAAAATAAAATACCCATCGCCCTTTCTTCACGATATTATTTTTAAATGGTAGAGGCATAACACATTTACAAAGGGACTGAAGTCCTTAATATAATAAATATCTGTTATTTTTTTCCATTTTTTCCCTGTGTATAATAATGATGCAAAGAGAGAGACAAATTTGGGCTGGAAAAAAAGTGCTTTGTTACATAGGATATTGTCGGTAAGTAGTGTCTAACTGCACTGACAGTAGCAGACATTATTTATTGCAGCCCATACTGTAGCCTACTTGTCTGAATTACTTATTATGAAAACAACCATTTGATATAACCTAGCTCAAATTTAAAAGACACAAAATGAAATGGATAATAAAAACAAATTTAAACGGACTAAAACTGAATAAACAAGCTAATAAAAATCACAGTGCTTTAAGTTATGAATGAACAGTCCGAAATTTAATCCTGTAAATGACAGTGGCAGTCTGGTGCAGCACATTTAAATGGTTATAAATCTTCTGAAACTCTAATGGATACTAAATATGAGTGCCAAGACTTACAAACCTTTTACACCAAGGCAATTATCCAGGAAAAATGTTTGCAATTGTTGTCAATAGGTCAACATAGGTGATCCAGAATTGCTCCATGACCCTGTTCACAACCACTCCAATAACAGCCTCTCCTTCAGACTCTAGCTGTCCATCTCCCTGTGCCACATCTACTCTGAATCCCAGTTTGATGGAGGTCTGATTGAACAGTGCTCACCTTGGGTAGAAAAACATGAACACAGGCTGAGCACTAGGACTGGGTGCCTTAATTTACTACAACTGTGTCACTATTTATCCCTATACCCATAAATTCTGTTCTGATAAATATGTAAAACTATCTGAACCTGATTTTGGAACATATATTGTTGAATTATCCTCTGTCATGGTTGATCCTCCAATATAAAAATAAACTAATGAAATCAACTATGCACAATTTTTAAGAGGCTTAAAAGCTGCTGTCTGCCACTGCCTTTCATTGTAATAAATTTGGGATTTAGTATCCTGCCATATCCTACAGTACTGAAATGGTATTATTAAATCAGTTTTTATACAGTAGTAAAAGCAAATTTTTATTTGCCATTTAATTTTACTCTTTTAAAAACATGTTTGTGAGTCTTGTGTTTCTTTTACATTTCGTATAGTGCTTTGTTGAAAAACCTCAGACTTGCTTTTGCTTTTATTTTGAAATCAGTCCCATTTCCGGTGTCCTCCTGCTCACCCCTGCACACTTGCCTCAGTTGGGGTTGTTAGATGAGGCTGAGGGACGGGAGTGCCCCATTCACACTCCCTTTACATTTACGCACAACAGCGGATCTCCCAGGAAGGACAAATGAACAGGACACGGTGGATGGAGACATATGTGTGATATAAAAACCAGCCCGGATGCGTCTGCTCGCTGCACTTATCGGGGAAAACTATGACTCTTTTAAACGACTGACGATTTGGGATACTGTTTTTACTTTTGCGTGCATCTAAACCGGCCGTTCATTCATTCATTCATTTATAAAAAGGTGCTGCACCCGTCTGGTTTCACATAAAACCGTCCTCTCCTCTACTGCCTGCTTTTCCCTGGTGAGGATGAATACCCGGCAATCTTCCTCCAGGTACCCGCTGCTGGTGCTGCTCTGCGCGGTCTGTGCGCTGTCGGGGACCCGGAGCCCCGTGGCTGCTGCGGGGAGGAGCTGCGCCGACACCCGGCAGGTGTACGCGGAGAAGGGGTACAGCACTGGCACCGCTCCGCTGACTCAGATCTCCGGTAAGACTCTGCATCCAGCCTGCGGTGGGGATAAATCACACATGTAAACAGTGATGGGAACTCATGCAGAACAGTCCCATCCTCCTCTGTTAGGAAATATGTGCCTGATTCAAGCTTATAGTACAGTTTAGGACACATGTAGCGGAGGACATAAAGGTGCGTCAGCATGCTCCAGTTACTCCAAACAGGGATAAAACACCATTAAGGTCACTTTAAACTCGCTGCTCACCCCCACAAATTATTTATCATGGCAACATTAATAATGCTATAGCAGAAATATGCCTTTAAATGACAAACATAGTGCAAGCAATGACAGAAAAGTGATATCTAAAAGTACAAGGTGGCACAAAACTCACTAGAGACACAATGCAGGAATATCATGTTGAGTTTTCCTCCAGAGAAACAATACCGGGTGGTTTAAAACAAATTACACCCGCCCCCTCCTCCCCTCTGTGCTGTTTAAATAGGATGATTAAGGGGATGAGCAAATTGCCAACACCGGTGCAACAAAGAACCTCGCCCCTAATTAGTCTTTGCCTACTGGCTCACTGTTAAAACCCTGCATATACCCCCATAGGCTCTGCTCTCTGGTGATAATCTTATCTGCTGAGTGAAAGCACATCACGTGGATTACACACAGTTATATTTTGGTGAGAGGTTGGGATGATAGAGGAGAGGAGAGAGATGTGGGACATGGGTGGACATTTGTTTAAATGTGGATGGCTGACAAAGTAAAGGGAGCAAAGCATGGAGCTGTGGAGTGTCCTAAGATGTGGTCTACTTCTCGGAGGTTCAGCTTTGCATTTAAATCAGTGAGACTGTGAGAGTGTGTTGCCTTCACACAGACATGGAGCTAAAAAAAGAAAAAAATTTGTGAGTGAAATGTGTGCTTGTGAAATAGCAGCTCTCTAGAGTGTTAGAGGATTTATTTTGTGGCAATTTAGCTCCATGTGTGTGTGTGAGTCACTGAGACAACTGCAGTATTGATTGATTTGTGTGTGTGTGTGTGTGTGTGTGTGGGTGTGTGTGTGTGTGTGTGTTGGGGTATCACTGCCTGAGTCTTGGCTCAACGTCCCGTGGGCCAGGGGAGCAGATGGCCGGGAGAGCGAAGGATGAAGAGAGGCAGTTTAGAAATGGAAATAGAGGGATGAGAGAGGGCTAATAGTGAGACACACAGAGAGAACAAAAGAGGCAGAGGGGAACACCGGCGAGGGTGGAGTTGGGAGAGTTTCGACTGTATTAACAGCAGCAATATTCATATTAGACGTAAAATTATAGAAACAAAAGAATTCAGACCTTTTCCTCATTCGCAGTGCTGTGGCTCTTTTTTTCCCCTTTCTCCCCTGGTTGTCGTTTGCATATCATTACCTCTGACATATCAAAGACCCAACCTGAGCTGACAAAGAAAGACAGATTGAAGCTGAATAATTCATGCAGGGAAATTACAATTTTCTATCACACCCTTATCTTTGATAAGATTTCCCCACAGTAACTGAACAGACTGATGAGTGGAGGAATTGAGCTTTAAAAACATCTGCTCTGACCTGATAAAAGACGAGCTGCAGTTATTAAGAATAGGCCTTGGGTTTTTCTTGAGGTATTAATAATAACTTTATTTATAGCACCTTTTTGTGCCCCACTGAAAGCTCATACATGAGGTTAGAATTAAACCACAGTAACCTAATTTCTACATTTTTAAACATGCATCATCAATCCTAACTTTTCCTTTTCTTCTGCCCTGGTTTTGCCTCCGTCCTGCAGGTGAGCACCTGCGGCTCTGTCCTCAGGACTACACCTGCTGCTCCAGTCAGATGGAGGAGACGCTGGCCCTGCAGAGCGAGAGGGACTTCCTCAAAGCTGTCGAAGAGAACAGCCAGTTCCTTCTGACTACTTTTACCCAGAGACACCGCAGGTTTGATGGTGAGAGGCTGACTCAGAGGCTTGTACAGTTATTAAGTGTATTTGATGGGAACATTATCAGGTTTGAAATTGGCTTAAGAAAGCATTCTCCTAGAAGCCACAGTGGGTACATTAGAAGGAAAAAGGGGACACAATCTGAACTCGGCTTCTCCTCGTCTCACCCTCCTTATCTACTGAGTTAGTGGTGATGAGTGACAGCTGATTAAAAAGTTATTCGGGATCTCAGACGACACAGTTCCTCTCAGATGGTCCGATATCTGAGCCACAAAATTGACTCTGGAAGCTAAAAGCACAGCAATGCATGCATATTGCAGAGACCCTCGCTCAGTTCTTATATATGTTTAATCAACACACAAGAACTGCTGATATTAAAGAGGTACTCCAGCACTTTTGGTACAGCAAGGCAAGTATTTTTATATAGCACATTTCAGCAGCAAGGCAATGTAAGTGCTCTATAAAACATCAAAAACATCAAGACAAAATGCAAACAAACACATTAGAAAATGACATTTAAATTCAATTAAATTATTTACCACTTAACAAAATGCCGCCCAACCAGAAAGTCTTCAGCCTTGGTTTAAAAGATCTGAGTTGAAGCAGTTTTCTGGGAGTTTGTTCCAGATATATGGTGCATAAAAACAAAATGCTGCTTCTCCACATTTAGTTTTGACTCTGGGGGACACAAAGCAGATCCTTTGAGGTCTGAATGGTTCATAATGTTGCACAAGATCAGGTGTCTCATTTATAAAACGGTGCGTAGGATCTATACTGAAAATGTACGTATGAACAAAAGCCAAAAATGGTGTGCGCCAAAAATTGTTGACAGTTTCTACAATCAGGCTTCCACCTCACCATCTGCCTCACCAATTTTCCGTCTCAAAATGTTCGTAAACATGGGTCAAAGTCTTTTTTTTTGCATCACAACATTTGCGTGGGAAGTGGCGTACGCCTTTTTCAGGCCTCACTTTGTGCGTACACAATGTTTATAAATGAGACTCCAGAAATGTATTTTGGCCCTAAAGTATTCATGCTGTGTAAACCAATGGTAGTATTTTGAAATCTGTTCTTGGACAGACAGAGTGTTGCACTTCCATAAAGCTGGGGGACTCACCAGAGACAAATTCTAAAAATAATGGGCACAACTGAAGGAGCAGAGGTCAAGATATCCTGATCCTACATTTCCCATAACGCACCTTGACAGCACAGACACAATTTGCCTGGTAGATGCCCAAATGTTTAAAACTGCACATCTCCAGTCTGTAACGCAGACATTCTGTTATAAATTTGTGTTTGCCAAGCAAAGCTTAGGTAACCCCCTGATGACATCACTATGACATCATCAGGATAAATTTGTCAGAATTTTGAGCTCTCCCTCCAGAGCCACAGAGGACGTTATAAAACAGTCTTCACGGACTAAACGTGGCCGGTAAACTGAGACTCGTGTGTAAAATCAGTGGAATGTCCCTCTGAACAAATGGTCAGTGTGGGGAAACCTACCCAGACAGCATTAGTGACTGTATCTCAGAGAATTCAGCCCACGTTGTCTCAAATCCCTCATATATGGCTGCAGGTTTGTAGCAGCCGCAGCACAGAGCTGAATTTACACTTTCTCCTCCTACCTGCTGTGGACTGCTATCACCTTTTTTTTCCCTCCCTCCTCATCCTTTTATATAATGTACATGATGAATCATTTGAGGATGCTGAAGGAGTGGGAGACTGCATATGAGTCCTAAAGTCCTAAATAGAGTACACGTTGTTACACTCATTTACCAGTGTGCAGGATCTGATGTAACTCTCCCTATGAGCTGTTCGTCTTGGAGCGGTGGGGGTGACTTGAGCGCCTACGTCTGTAAAAACCTGGCCAAGATATTAGAAGAAAAGGAGGTGGGTGACAGATTCATATCTAATCTCTGCTTTTCCTGTCTGTCTGTCTGTCTGCAGAGTTCTTCAGAGAGCTTATAGACTTATCGGAGAAGTCTATGAACCAGATGTTTACCAAGACCTACGGCCGGCTCTTCACGCAGAATTCACACGTCTTTCAGGAGCTGTTTGTGGAGCTGCGCAGATATTATTCTGGTTAGTTTAATCGCTTCATCCACCTCCCCTCACCTTAGTGTATTCAGATGGTCTAATGGTCGTTGCAGAGTGATAGCAGTTGGCTTGAATTTGCCATAGACGATTAAATCAGGGACATCCCAGTGGTTTAGTGGTCTAAGGGTGTTTTCACATATTGTCCTTTTGAAATGAACTGAACTTAGTCCTCTTAAAGTGCACCAAAAAGGGGACCAACAGAAAGAGGACTCAATTCTCTTTCTGGTCAACTTCAGCTCTGATGGGGCCTCAGTCCTATTTCTCTTCACACTATAGCCTATATATAATATATATTGATGTACTTTTGTTTTTACTTTGACGCACTGCGGTTATGACGCTGCTCGCTTTCAGATGAACTTAAAACAACCGAAGATGTTTTTTCTGTGCTGTGGACTGTATCTGTTTGATTTATTCAACATTCCACATCTGAAGACGTGCAGTATCTTCCGTGGACCAAACTATTCCTTATCCTGCATTCTTGCAAGCTTTAAAGGCCGATGTGGTTTCATCTTTTTTCATTAATTTTCCGTAACCGCTTATCCTGATAGGGGTGGTGGGGGGCTGCAGCCTATCCCAGCTGACATTGGGTGAGAGGCTGGTTACACCCTGGACAGGTCACCAGACTATCACAGGGCTGACACATAGAGACAGACAACCATTCACACTCACATTCACACCTACGGGCAATTTAGAGTCACCAATTAACCTGCATGTCTTTAGACTGTGGGAGGAAGCTGGAGTACCTGGAGAAAACCCACGCTGACACAGGGAGAACATGCAAACTCTGCACAGAAGGGCTCACCCACCTGGGGTTCGAACCAGGAACCCTCTTGCTGTGAGGCGACAGCTTCAGAGTGGAAATGTGTAGATTATGCTTTGTGCACTTGGATAGTATATATGTACAATATCTATTAAATCATAACAGTTGCTCCATTTTTAAACATTTTATTTGGCTTCTTGACATGGAAATGAGTTAGTAGAAAACAGCTCCAAATTTTTTCCTTTTTTTTTTGTTGACGCAATGGCATCAAATAAATATTCGATACTGGAAGTTTAGGTGTCGGAATTGGTATCAGGAAGGAACAAATGGTATTGGAACATCTCTACATGAAATAAACACCATTATCTTTTATTGCATTCAGTTAAAATTAAATGCTATGTTTAAAAGTGTGCGTTTAAAAAACTATATTCGGTCGGTCTGGTTAAAGTTGTCAAAGTTGGTAGAGTAGTCTGGTAAAGAGCTGTGATGGTTCCTTGCTGCACTGGTAATTTAGAGTCATTTTACCAGTCCCCATCCCTGTTGTGGTAAATCCACAGCCACTCTGGACAGCAGAAAAGAGGCAGCATTGTCATTTGAGGAGAATCGAAATGCCACGAAGAATTGGAGGAAAAATAGAGGATTGGAATCCCAGGGATGACTGTTTCTATTTCTGTTCCAGATCATTCCATTTTGGCATGACAGCCGCTCGCTGGCGAGTCTGTCTGCAGGCTGTTGCTGCTTAGTCAACCTGTCTTTGTCTGCCAAACAGCATGTATGGCTAATTTGAGGCTGTATTGTAGACTACAGATTGGAGAGTCGCATATTCAGGATCTGTCTGCCAGTTGACTAATGCACAGAGACTGACTAGCACCAAAACACATTTAAAGGAGAAATAAAAGGAGGAATAACAGTGAACACACAATATTTTAGGCAAATATTGTGTTTAAAAGACAAATTTCACATCAAAGCAGCAACACTGTTTTGTATTTGTCTCTTCTTTATGTGGTTGATTTAAAAAAAATGTGCCAATCTGTTTTTACTTGATTTGGTTACAATACTCTGTGGCAGGATAGTGGTTCCACAAGGCACAAGGTACAATTACTTTTTCTTGAAAAATATGAAAATTCACCCATAATTACTGCCCCATTAAGCCAGTTGAAATGTGTAGTAGTGCTAAATGTGGTTAGTCCCCATAGTTGACTACATGAGGTAGCACCTCAGCCCTGTAGTAGAGGTGTAGTGTAAAACTTAGTAAATTTTTCTCAGTGTTATCTGTATGATTTCTGTCTTGACAAACCTTGGAAGTGCATGTGCACCCTACTGCTGTCAGGCAGGAGGTGCTGCATGCCAAAGTAATAAGTGCTAACCGAGTGGCCTATAAAGCCATCGTGGAAGTGGCAAAAACTGCAGTACCATGAATGGCCACATGAGGCTGTCTCCAAGAGCGAGTCAATCTTCCTCGCCCCCATGTTACGACGCCCAACTTTACAGCAGAAATATGTTTACAGCCTGGTACTAAAAAACAGTTTTGGTCACTATAGCTAATTTCAACATTCATGACAACTGCACGGGGGTTAAATTTTATCTAACTCACCCGTTTAAATGTTATTATGGCTTGAAGTTATGCATAATTAAGGGCTAGCTGCTTTGAGTGACAGGTGGGTGCCATCTGTTTACAAGTCGCTACCACGGTGACAACGTTGGTTAGGTATCATGACCATGACGCAGCACAGATTCATAGAGTTTAGCCGTAGCTGTCGCTATATCAGTGTATTTTCAGTTCATGAAAGTTAGCTGTAATGATTTGGTTGCACTGAAATTCTCTCTAAGGAGTCAGAGGTTCAGTTCTTCCAATAAGTACATTTAGTTTAAATGGTTTTGAACCTATTTTCGCAAGTGAAAATTAGCATTGTCACTGTTAACCATAGCTGTACTGTAAATGCACCATGCTAACTTAGCTAGCGGCTAGTGTTCGGGCTAGCTCCACCCTGTCATCCAAATAAAGTGTCGTTTGGCTCTAAATATCCAAGATGGCGACAGCTAAAATGCCAAACAAGACTTCAAAACAGGAGTCCACAAACCAATGGGTGACGTCACGGTTGTTACGCCCATTATTTTATACAGTCTGTGGGGCAAACCACAGTGTGTTTGGAGGGTTTACAAGCATCAGCTGACATGGCACTTGGGATGAACTATTCCTTTAACCTGGCCTTATAAGCATTGCAGCAGCTCACTGTATAAGCATACGGTGCTAATACGATGCTCTTTCTTCAGACAATCCAGCAGGAGCAGGATCTTTGTTAGATTTTAGATACTGTGTGCTGACAGTTGCTCTTGTATCCACAGGGGGCAGCGTCAGTCTGTCAGAGGTTCTCTCAGACTTCTGGTCCAGACTGGTGGAGCGAGTCTTCTCTCTGGTTAACCCCCAGTATCAGTTTAGCGAGGACTACCTGGAGTGTGTCAGCAAACATGCCGAACAGCTGCAGCCGTTTGGGGATGTGCCCCGCAGACTGCGCGTACAAGTATGTGCCTTATGATAAAATATGCCTTTGATGGAGGATAAATGTATTTCCAGTTATGCAGTTTGAGTGACTAACATTATTACATTGTCTTTCTTTCTTAAATTCAGGTGTCGAGGGCTTTCATTGCAGCCAGAGCTCTGTCTCAAGGCTTGGCTACTGGTCGGGATATTGTTAACAAAGCAACAAAGGTGAGTTGTTTCTTGTAATGCAGTCTGTCCTGCTGTTAAAGCTGCTCTGTAACCCTTTTTACCCTAGATCTAAATGTGGGCCTCAAATTTATGTTTTCCTTTTTCATGAAATATATCTTTATTTTAAAGTGGAAATAGAAAAGTGTTTGCTTTAACTTATCATAATGAAGTAAATGTTGGGGCATTAGGATAATGACCCCATCAGCATTTAGAGTGGTTCTTTATAAGCCTCACTTTCACTGTGCACGCCAGGGGATGAGCAGTTTAAAAGTTTCCACTTTAAAGCTCTTCTCAAAATGAAGTTGGAGACTGTATATCTTAAATGACAAATCACAATATGAAAGCCGAAAGCAGAAGTCTATAACTGGCAGCAAATGAGCACTTCATTCAGTATAAGCTGGACTTAATTAGATAAGATCATTTACTGAGGGCAGCAATTAATGGTTAGTTTCATTATCAGTTTGTGTTGATTGTTTTCCTACTTTAACTGCGTTGTCGATATGCTGCCAGAAAGTTTGAAAATGCCGATTTTGATTTCCCAAGTGACACATTCAAATTGTTTGTTGTATCTGACCAGCAATCCAAAACCCAAAGGTTATTCAGTTTCCTATTATACGACAGACAAGCATCAGATCTTCACATTTGAGAAGCTGGAACCAGGAAATATTTGGCAATTATGCATGACAAATATCCGTTATACGATTATCTGAATGATGGCAGATTAATTGTCTGTCGATCAACAGTGCTGGTAAGTCTCTAAATACATGTAACAGTAATTAAATTACTAAAATAAATCCAATTGTAATCAGTTACAGTTCCTGAGATATATTTAAATGCAACACCATTACATGTAGGATGGCTTACAAGGAGCTGCCTCTACATCCAGAGAGGCTCCATGCATTTGGCATATGTGCCCATGTTATGAGCCCTGTGTTTGATTGGTTCTCTTTTTTGAATTTGCACTGCTTTGCTCTGAGCAGGGGCACAGCATGTGATTGATATCAAGTGATTCAATTGTGCGCTCTCCCTCCTGCCTGTCAGCGCATGAAATGCTACCCTTTTACCTACTCTGCCTCTCGCTGGACTGTTGCAGTGCGTAGTCCTCCTCTTCACTTCTCTCCCAGTGTTCATCACTTCACAGAGTATACCAAATATTCTGGGGTGTACCACTGGGGCCCCATGGGGACTGGGTACCACATATGGAGTTCTGTGGTGTACCAAGCCTAGTTATAAGTTAAATTCAAAAGCTTCAGTGAGTACTTTAACCTGGTTAAAGGAGGGTAAACAAAATAAGGGGGCTGCCTTTGGCTCCCTACGGACACCAGCAAAAGAAAGTACTGAAGGAAATTTAAATAAGGGTCAAACATGATTTATTTATATATCATCCCCCCTCCCCAAATTAAAATACAGAAAAAAAGGCCATTGGAGGAATGTCCAATTAAAAATTATCCTCTTTATCTAAGAAATGTTTAATGTCCACCCTTCAAAATGCAAAAATAACAAGCCAGGAAAAAGCACTGCACTGCAAAAAAAAAAGAAAAATATGGTGGATGGATGGATGGATGGATGGATATATAGATAGGTAGGTAGGTAGGTAGGTAGATAGGGAGGTAGGGAGGTAGATAGATAGATAGATAGATGGATAGATGGATGGATGGATAGATAGATGGGTAGGGAGGTAGTCGGTGGCGTCCTCAGCTCAGCCAGTATGGGATGTCTGGCTCCCTATCTGGTCTTTTTCAGTGCCAGGAGTTCCTGTCTTGTGTACAGTCATCATGTGCAAATCGCACAATGCAAGAAAACACAAAAGCACAGAGCTACTTGGACTTGCTACCACACAGAATGAAATTAATCATTTTAATTTATTCTTCTTGTCCTAACTCTCATCCCACGGCTTTGTGTTTTTCAGCTGACTGCAGATTCAGAGTGTGTGCGTGGCCTGATGCGTCAGTGGTACTGCCCACTGTGCCGAGGCATGCCCTCCCTGCGGCCCTGCCACTCCCTGTGCCTTAACGTGATGAAGGGCTGCTTAGCCAATCAGGGAGACCTGGACACTGAATGGAACAATTTCATTGGTGGGTGAACATACTGTGTGTCGTTGTGTGAGTGGGTTTGGGGTCAGATGCATGACACGCTGACACACTTATGTCAAAGAGTCACGAGAATCCTTTGATTTCAATTATTTAAGATCCTTAAAGGGACAGCAAAAAAAAAAAAAAATTTACTTTTCCTCTTACCTGTGATGCTGTCTATCAATCTAGATTGTTTGGAGATAGTGTTGGAGATATCTGCCCTCTCTCAAATACAATTAAACTAGACAGCATTATATTTATAATGATGGATAAATAACACAACAGATAAAAGTAAAAATATCTATTTTTGATTTTGGGGTGAACTGTCCATTCAAGAAATATAATGTCATAGCCCATACCTCATTTAAAAGTCTTTTAAATAATTATCATTATTCCATTGAGCATACCTAAAAGTAGACTCCTTTTATTGCCCTCTGTCACTCATTTAATTTCACTTCCTTTGCCTCATAATGAATTCCTCCTTCATTAATCATTCATGCTTCTCTGCTCCTTCACAATTGATTTGTCTTCCTATGTTTCCTTTCCCCTTTCATCAAGCCCATACGTTCCTTCCTCTTTTTTTTCTCCTTTTCATGTGCTGTGCATCCTCTCACCTTTCATCACTCAATCCATGTGCACTGCACCCAAACCCATTTTACCCTCATTTACCTTTTTTTTCCCTCCAACCACCATTCTCTGGTTCTCTTTATATGATGTTGGCTTGCTTCCTAATCTTCCAGTCCTGTAACCTCATACACAGATGTAAATCAAATCTCTTTAGCTGGTTAGCCGGTGAGAGATTCCAGACACAGGAAACCATTGTCTTGATGTTTATCAGGATCTAGAATAGGCCACCAACGAGGAGTTTTTTCTTTGCGTGTAACACCAGACAATTGGGTGAATGTAGTCATAGCAAACTTAATCACCCTGCCATCTCTATTTCTGTCTCTCCCTCTGTCTTCCTATCAGATGCTCTGTACCTGGTTTCAGAGAAGTTGGAGGGGCCGTTCAACATGGAGCTCGCAGCCGACTCCATCTCTGTGAAAGTGTCGGAGGCCATCATGCACATGCAGGAAAACAGCGTCAGCATCTCCACTAAGGCAAGGAAGAGCGCTCAAGCAGATGACACTGAAATGAAATGGACATGGATGTATTTTTTATTGCTTTCCGAATATTTATTAAACCTTTGTGTGTGCATAAAGGCCATCATCTGCCGTTTAAAAAAAATCACTAAGCTATAATTTTGATTTTTGTTCAATTTGAATCTTCCCTAATGTGACAGCATGCAGTAAAAAAAGACAGAAATTATAGACAGAGAGCATGACAGCCTCACAGTATGATTAAAACATGCTGGGCAGGCATCCCAGCAGCTAATCCACCAGAGAGACACCCCCATCTTGTTAGAAACAGAGAAGCTCCTGGTTTGTGTGAGCAGTGCTTTAAGAAAGGTTTGCTAGGTTATGGTTTGCCACACTAACACAAAGGATAGCTTGAACAGTCTAGAACCTGGCATTTCTGGGCTGTTTTTGCTGTGTGGCAGTAGAGAGCTTAATGTATCATCAGAATGAAAAGGTTTTGAAACTCAAAAGAGCAACGACTTCTTTGTAGAGCCGTTCTTGGGGTGTTTCATTCCAGACCATTCAAGCAAATGTTAGTCAAGAGGTGACAGGAAATGAGTACAAAGAGAGAGATGGGGGAATGACATGCAATAAAGATACCCAGCTGGACTCAAATCAGAGACGTTGCGGCACATTGCCTAAAACATGAGGGTTTACAAAATTATCTCAACATGAAGTAAAAGGTTACAGGGCATGCTAAGGGGGATTGAGTGCAAGGAAAATCGAATTTACAACAATTTATCACAAACTATGTCCTAGAGACTAGAGAGTATCTGTGGGATGGACATTTCCTTGAATATCGCATAACAGTGGCAAACCTGTTGTGAAAATTATTACTAGTATTATATTAAAAAAGCTGTTTACACTAATATTGCTTTGTTGTCGCATACCTCAGGTGTTCCAAGGTTGTGGAAGCCCCAGGCCAACTCCAGGACGCTCCAAACGTTCCCCCAAAGAGTCAGGGGGTAACAGGAGACCCTTCCGCACCTACAGCCCTGAGGAGAAACCCACCACTGCTGCAGGCACCAACCTGGACAGACTGGTGAGACAGAAACATACCCTATGTAAACTGGGTGAAGTAGCTTCATTAATATGTTTTAATATAGTGATTTTAAAGGGTCTGTGTGCGACATTCACAGCGTTAATAGCAGCAAACCACCATTTGCTATGTAAGATATAGTGGAGTAATGGCTTCCAGAGCAGAGAATAAAGTCATGTTACCTGTTACCTTAGTGCTTGTGTGTATCGCGATCCCACTGACTAGCTCATGACCGCCACTTTGCACTGCACTCATATAGCAGTTACGGCATCGATGCATAGCGTTCACCCTCTGGTTCCCCCTCTATTTAACACACTCTGTCAGCACTGTTGCCATTTTTTGTGCTGTTTCTGGAGTTAGCACCATTAGCTGCTAGCTGCTGGGTCAGCTGCCTCCATGTTGAGAACTGTGTACAGACAACTGATACATTACACATTCTGATTATCGCATAGAGCCCCTTTGAGACAGTTTGAATTTGTATTATGTGATTTTTTTTTGGCCACATGGGGGCAGCACAACAAGGTCCAAACACAATGTTGACTTACTAGCATCTTGTTGGGGCAAAGTTGTCATAAACCTTGGCACACACAGAGCAGCTTTAGCATTCAATTGAAATCGTGTCTCTAGCAATTTGGGAAATGTAACGCCTTTTTTCCACATAGTTTTGTTTTATGTCCGCATTTCCATATGGTATGCAGTAATTAGTATCCAGTTCCTAAAATGTTCAGGCAGAGGGTACTTGCTGTAGCTCTGGTTGAGGGTGAGAGGCTGTCAGTAAATAGTTTGTTGAGCACAGGGAAACAGAGATCTGTGTGGGTACATGAGACCCTAAAAAGAGGGTGGATCATGGTGAGTACTACCAGTTGGTCCAGGAGCTTCTCCTCGATGATGGCCGTTTCCAGGCATATTTAAGGATGACTCAGGGGCAGTTTGACAACCTGCTTTCTATCGTCGGGCTGTATAGCTCTGGGTATCCAGCAACCACTACCACCAGTTTCTCCTCCATTGTTTACCAACTGTAAACTTGTTGCCGTGACCACCACAGAAGGCCCGCCCCTCAAATCATCCTATGACGTGAGGCACTTTTCCCCTCAGAGTTGAAGGTTTTTCAACTCTAGGAGTTCAGAGCGCTTTGGCAAAAACACCAGGCGTCTAAAGCACAGAAACATGAGGTGTATCATAACACAAAAACCACAAGCAAAAAGCTTCATTCTAATTAAAAACAATTACAAAAAGGCGCCTCCAGCTGCTAAAATGCTTTCTGTGTGGGGCGTAATTGTTGCGTGCCAGAAAACCAAAACAATGAGCTGAAAGATGCTAAAACTTGTTATAAATCTGAGGGGAACTTGGGTCATAATCTGTGGATTCATCACTATTAGCACCTGTTTTCACATTACACATGGTAATGTGACCCCTTGCATATATAAAAAAATTAATTAGTGCAGCTTAAACTACTTAAAAAGACTGTTTTGTGGAGGCCATGTTTCTGGGTTGAGTGTGATTTTAATATAAGATGCTGAAACTGCAATAAAGGATGTCAGAAATGTTTGCACTGCACAGGAGTCAGGAGTCAGACATAGCAACTGAGCAGAGAGCCAAGACAGGAACAAACAACAGTAATACAAATCTAAGCTTGGTACAAGAAACTAATAATACAGAGAGCAGCGGTCAGAGCCCAGACAGTTCTCCTGCGACCACAGAGCGGTATTGAAAGATAGAAGAGCTGGGAAATAAATGAAACCAAGAGCAGAGGAGGGGAGAGGGAGGATGGTAAGCATTCATATCTATTTATGAAACATAAAAGACTTGTGGTTCAAGAGCTGACCCAGAGGCAGTGTCATGTCAATTTTTGACTTTGGCCAACGTCAGCACTGCGGCTTCAATATGCTTCCTCCAGCCAGCCATACCAAACAAGGATACTTTAAAACCACGTCTGAGTCATAACCAATTTCTTTCTGCCTCCGTGCAGGTTACCGAGCTGAAGGAGCGACTGCGGCCTATGCGTGGCTTCTGGGTGTCCCTCCCACACACCATCTGCAACGATGAGAAGATGGCTGCCGACGTCACTAATGAGGACCGCTGCTGGAACGGGCAGACCCGAGGGAGGTGAGCAAGATCAGAGTGGAGGGGTGGAGGGAGGGGCTCGGTAGAGGTGGAGGAGGAGTGAGTGATGGCACAGAGGTGGAAGGATGCAACAGATGGAACGGAGTTAATTTGATTTTTGCCACCAACAGTCACCCGCATGCTCTCTGCGTGGGTCTGCTTGCTTTTACAAACACAGAGACGGTGCTGGGCTGATGTAGAGACACTGTGCAGGCCTGTGTGTGCTAAGAGGAGTAACATGCCTGCATAATGGGTGATTTGTGTCGATGATGTTCCAGCTGCATTAGCCAACAGTTTAATGTAAAAGCACACCCACCTTAGCAGCTTTAATCATGAAGTTGGACTGCAGCCAAACATGTGCTAGGAGAGTATTGTATTCTACTATATTACTTTCTGTTGGCCTCAAGGAAGATCTGGCAAACTGTGAGATGCCTCAGGAAGGGAAAGCAGGGCTTGCCTCTGTGTTCAGCAGGGGAGGAGAACTGCTGAACCAGACTGGGGATATTGTCGAGGGGTGGAAAGAACACTTGAGGAACTCCTGAGACCGGCCATTATGTTCTCTGTGGAGGAGGCAGAGTCTGGAGACTCAGAGAAAGCCTTACACATGTCCCTGGCAGAGGTCGCCGAGATAGTCAAAAAGCTCTCTGCCAGGTGTGGATGAGGTTCTCCCTGAGATGCTGGAGGCTCTGGACATTGTTGGGCTGTCATGGCTGACACGCCTTTTCACACTGTTCATCCTCCCTGGGAAGGTTTATTCCAGGGTGCGGGAAAGGAGGTTCCGACTGATTGTCAAACCTCAGATTCAGGAGGAGCAATGTGGATTCTGTCCTTGCCATGGAACAGTGTAACAGTGGACCAGCTCTTCACCCTTGCAGGGCTGCTGGAAGGGTCATGGGAGTTTGCCCATCCGGTCTACATGTGTTTTGTGGACTTAAAGAAAGCCTATGATTGCATCCCACTGGGAGTCTTGTGGGGTGTACTGCAGGAAAATAGGGTATCGGGGTTGATGCTACGAGACATCTAGTCTTTGTGTAACCAAAGGGAGTAGAGGTGGTTCGGGCATCTGATCAGGTTGTATCCTTTGCGCCTCCCTTTAGAGGTTATAATCATTTAAACTGAATATCACTGCATTTTTGTTAGCCATTTATATTTATAAATGTTGTTCTACAGTAGCCCTGAACAGACAAATCAAATGCTGGCTTAAGATAAGGTCATTTGTGTTTGCAATCTGCTAGCTCACCACTCGATGCCACTTAATGCTGCACACTGGACCTTTTAAATATTGCTGCAATTAAATGCCAGAGTAAGTTACTCCCCTTGTGAACATTACCAATCATTGCAGTGAAGATGGTTTTTGTAAAATACGGTATGTACACCTGTGGTGGTTTGATTAATTTTGTTTCCGGGTTAAACCTCAGTGCTGCCGTTCGATACCACACTGTGTGAAGTCGCCAAGCGCTGCTTTGAAAAAGACATGAACACCTCTGCATGTGTGTGCACACTCAGGTACCTGCCGGATGTGACGGGCGATGGGCTGGTTAGCCAGATCAACAACCCGGAGGTGGAAGTGGACATTGCCAGGCCGGATGTGAGGACCAGACAGCTGATCATGGAGCTGAGGGTGGTGACCAACAAACTGAGACACGCTCAGAGCGGACAGGACATGGACTTCATGGACAGTCAGTCTATATATTTGTGTATATCCTAAGCATGCATTACCTGTCACCTGCCAAATGTATATCACAATTACTCACCTTTTTGTTACGTTGAATTTGTGAAGAAAAATCTTGATGAATTAATCAGTCATTTCTCCAGCTGGATGCTCAGCACTTCCCAAACACAGGTTTTTTTGCTAAAACATTACCATTCAAAACTGAGGTGAAACTTACCTATGCTCTCTTCAAAACCAGACTACATTGTCAAAAACAATCATTTTACCCGCTGAACACGGGAGCTGCTCATCTACCGCTGCCTCAATCCGTTAGTTTGTTTCTATTTATTGTGCGAGGGTTAGTTCAGATTCACCTAAGTTATACAATTATTTGACAGCTTTATTTGTTACTTAACGAAGTAATCTTATAAAAAAATGTTTAACTTAAACTAACAGTTTTCAAGTACAGTGGACACGAGTTAGTTGATTAGTCAAAGGCAAAAATTATTTGACAGCTGTTTTGATAATCTTTTGTCATTTTTCATTCAAAGACATTTGATGGTTCCAGGTTCACATGATGTGAGGATTTTCTACTTCTGCTTTTAGCTATTTTAAGTATATTATTTTCTAATAATTTTGCACTATTGGTTGGACAAAACAGGTGTCACTTTGAGCTATGAGAACTATTTTAGGAATTGTTACAAACCAAACAATCAGTTGATAAATGGATAAAATAACCAGCATGTTAATCCATACTAAAAGTATAGTTACCATCCTCTACAGAGTAGTTAAAAATTAGCTTCATTTCAACGAACTACAACTTTTTTATTAATGCACGAGTAATAATAATCTAATGATAAAATATAGCATTGTAACAGTCATGGGGACATTTCGTTTTGCACTTGAGTACTTTCACTTTAATACTTAAGTATATTTCCTGATTATACTCGCATGCTTTTACTTAAAAGGCAACTTTGGTATTTTCCAACCTGGACCCTATTTTCTCATGTTTTTGTGTGATTAACAGGAACAATAACTTTTTAATTGGTTCAGCTGCGAAACAGGTTGCAACATCACCCCTGCAGACAATTAAGCACCGTCAATTTATGTCCACAAAAAGTGCTTGTTTTTGCCAGTGAGAGGCTCAGATTGATCATCTCTGTGTCTGACAACTTACAGAAAGGATCCCTGCAGATATAAACCTTAGGAACAGTTCTGAAATCCTTTCATTCATTCATTTTCCGTTTGCTTATCCTGTTAGGGGTCACGGGGGTGCTGGAGCCTATCCCTGCTGACATTGGGCAAGAGGCAGGGTACACTCTGGACAGGTCACCAGACTATCGCAGGGCTGATACATAGAGACAGACAACCATTCACGCACACATTCACAGCCCTGAAATCGCCATCGTCAAACCCACCAGATTCCATTTAAATAAATAGTGATTTTAGCTTGTATAGAGGCAGCATCATGCACGTCCAACTGGGTGAATTAAGGGTTTATTTCAACCAAACCAGAGTTGGTGATAGCTTGAACAGTAAAAAGACTTACCAACGCTTTCTTTGGGGTCTTACTTTTTTCTGTCAACTTTAATAAAGCATGGTTTCGGATTATAAAATTGCTGTTTTTTTTAAATGGAATCTATTGGGTGTTATGATTGTGATTTTAGGTGTGTTTCTGGTTAAAATCCACCGCTGCCTGTATGTGTCTGTAGGACTTGTAACACCATTGATAGAACTTATCTACCAAATCTGTATGAAATGTTTTACTTCTGTTCCGAGGATAACTCTGACATCTTTTCCCTTGCTCCAGGTGAGGAGGGCAGTGGCTCAGGAGGCGGAGATCAGGGTGAAAGGTACAATGATTGGCCAGGCTATGGGCCGTACTCCCCGCCCTACAACAACAAACCCCCCCGCAACCCTGTCTCCAGTCCCGCAAAGCCACCAAGAGTCAGAGAGAGAAATGGGTCCAAGTGGAACAGAAACAACGGTCACGGACGGGTCAGATCTGCAACCAGCCAGCTCTCTTTCTCCCTGGTTCCTTTGTTGTCTTTGCCTTTTGTGGTCACTGTTGCCCCCATGTGGAGATAGCTGGTTATTACAGTCTGGAGGTGGAGGTTATCTGTCATGCTGGAGTCTCAAGCACATTATGAAGAAAGAAAAAGTCATTCCATTTGGTTACACCAGCAGAAAAAAAGACAAAACAGGCTAATTTAGCAATAATCAAAAACCTGTTTACAGCACAAATACAAAAAGTTAAAGTGAATATTTTTCCTACTGCCCAAGCCATAAAAGAGGCATTATTGTATCAGGCATTGATGATTACAAACTTAATAAGTACTGCCATTTTTTAGAGCCGTTCATTTGACCTATTGGAGTCTTGATGCTGGATGGTGACTATGAAAGAGAAACAAAAAGCACAACAGCAGCAGGTGAATTCACAGCATGTTTGGGTGATGAAGCTCGTGGTTTGGTGGTTTGGTGGTCTGTCAGATGGAGATCAGTCGTGCCGGTTAATAACCACGTGGTATCCGCAGCAGAGTTTGTTTGCTGCCTTTCTCATGAAATTAAGTTCATTAATTCAATTGATCTTGGTTTCAGTCCGGTTGTGGTTTATTTTTCATCTTGTGGAAGTAGTGGGAATTTAATTTACTTGCTTAATTAAACCTCCGTATTTTGGCTTGGAGACTAAAGAAAAGTCAATAGTGTGACTCTTGAAACCAAACAAGGGGCTTATTTTGAATGTACGTAATTAATTTGCGGTTATTTGTGACAACAAGGGGTTTATTAATGTAATATATTGATGTTTTTTATTTATTTGTAATATAATATGTCATTGTTCTTATCTGATTTTTAAGGCAAGGGTCAAGTGTTTTTATCTTTTAAAATAAGTGTTTGTCTTTAACTTTCTCTGGTTTAAAATAAGGGGAAAAATCAAGTTGTATTTATTGATACTTTCTGTAAACCAATTATTTTAAAATGTTATTGAACCAATCACAGCAAAACATTTAAAGGTCCAGTGTGTAGCATTTAGTGGCATCTAGCGGTGAGGTTGGACAACACATTCTTACTCTGACCTTGTCACATATTGACGTTTTAGTCATGGACTTTCCACGTCCAAATACGATGTTGCTTGTTGACATTCTGGGACACCGTGTCAAGTTCTGCCGTTACATGCATTGTCTTCTTTCAAAATACACTTCTGTTTTCACAGGAAATTTAACATTTATGTACAGTCTCTTTCAAAATAAACGCACCACGTCAGTACAACGCCGCAAATTGACATTTTTTTTCCTTCAACAACAAAAACACGTGGTTAGGTTTAGGTAAAAAAAAAAAAAAAAGGTTTGGCTTATGAGTCTTACGGGACGCAAACACTGCTCTCTTGGGTGAAAGTAGGTGTTTGTTGGACCCATCCACCACCTCTTCCACATGCTCCAGTCGGACTTTCACTGCCTTAACTTTAGTCCTTTTGTCGTCGCATTTTCCCGACACCGCTGGATGCTGTTAAACTATAACGGCAATTGGCCGCAACTCATGCAGATGTTAAAAGATACCTTTTTCATTGGTTTCTGACTCCACAAGTCATTGCCCAAGCACCAGATTTCAATGACTTCGGAGTGAGACCGGGTTGCCATGTGCCAAGTGTGTCGGAGTGCCACAGTGGCCGATGCAAAAATGTGAATGGCTCTATCTAGAGCCACTGTTTGATTTGTCCATTCTGGGCTACTGTAGAAACAATATGGCAGACTCCATGGAAGAGGACCCTCTCCATGAGTAGATATAAACGGCTCATTCTAAGGTAACGAAACACGTTTCTTATTTTCATGTGATTATACGCTAAAGAAAACATAGTTGTGAATATAAGAATAATTTTTTGGCCTGTTGATCATAAATCCTACACACTGGACTGTTATTGTAAAATATTGGGCTACAAGAGCGGCGTTTTTAGCCATAACCAGAGATTGTTAAGGAGCAGTGTGTGTGAATGTGTGTGTTTGTATGCTGGTTTTATATTGTTTGTTGTATGTTCTGGTTTCAAGGTTCTGAGGTCATGTTGAGAAGATGTTTGGGATGTTTTTGTAATACCGTGCTTTTCTACTTATTTTTCCTAAAAGCAACAAAAGATGATGTAAACACTGAGGGAGCTCATGTTGTGATGTAAAATTGGACTGAATGTTGACGGAAAGAGAGGAATGCTATCAAGAACCAGGAAACGATGGCTCTTAATTTTCATACGCTGAATGTGTTTTGATGACGAGAAAAACAAATAATATTCAAGAAGGAAAAACAAAAACTTGAGGAGGAGTGGTCATCCATGAACAGAGAGGATGAGGAGGAGGAGGAGGAGGGTGAACTAAAAGGATTTGTTTGACATTGTGGGAAATACTCTCTTGCCTAGAGTTAGATGAGGGGACAGATTCCACCCTCATGTTGGTATGATAAATGTGAAGTAGTAGCTGGTTAGCTTAGCTTAGCATGAAGACTAGAAATAGGTGGAAACGGCCCACCTGGCTCTGTCTGAAAGTAACAAAACCTACCTAAAGCTCAGTAATTAATTATTTACACCTTTACACCTTTTTTTATTTGTTGAATCTGCTAAAAGAAAACTAGGTGCAAGAAAACAAGAAATTAGAGGGATTGTGTGCCCGGATTGTTGCAGGGAGCAGTTGACAAGTAACCAGCAAGACTCAGAGAACTTCCTGGGAAGTCTTGGCCAAGAAATAGTCACAGCCAGTGTTAATGTCATTGAGAAAACCAACGAAACACTTTTTCCACGAGGAAAACGAGAAGATGACGCGCTAAAAATAGGACTTGATAATAAAAACTTAGATGAAATCTGTGCTTCATTTTTGTTGACGAGACGTTACGAAAATGTTCATGGTCGACTATCGGACGTTGAAAGCCGAGAATTGCTGAGTTTGTTATTATCTTCAAATGCGACAAGCTGGTAAACTCCAGTAAATGCGGCAGCATGTTTTGCTAGTTAGCAAAAACACTGACACCAGGGCAGTGTCAGCCATTGGTGTGAGCCGTGAGCTGTAATTCATCAGTAAATAATCAGCTGTATGTGTCTGACTGTTGATGGTGGAGCTGCTGAATGGACTTGTTGGGAGTTTGTCAGTTGCAGCAGTGCCTGTTAGCCGCTGAATGGCAGCAGAGCAAGCAGCCACTGGCCACCAGACTTCACAGCTGATCCCTGCAGGATTCTGCTTAGTTAGGACTGTCTCAGGAAGGTTTATGGTGATGCTGTTTGACAGGCAGGTAGGAGGCTCGGTTATCTGAGTGTAGCTGTGTTGTAAGTTAACAGTCTGAACTCAGATCAGTTTTCTGAGATGAAAGTTTAGTTTTAACCACCAACTCTGTGAGAGGACACGAGATTAAACCTCCAGACTATCATGTTAGAGATTAAGAAAGAATTCAGACTTAAGTCAGAGTCAGAGTTTACAATGAAGCTGGGTACAAAAATAAAAAGAACATGTAGAAAACATAATAACGAAAATGTCAAGAATTTTCATCGACAAACTATTAAGGATAAAAATTACTAAAATGTGACTTAAACGTAAAAGCATTTTCATCTCAAGACTAGGACTAAATCTAAAATAACTTTCAAAATTAACAATGCATTTTTTTCCACTTTGTTTTTTGTACAAATGACACAAAAAAGATAAAACGTGCTTATGAGTGAGCTTTACAGATGCTGGTTCACTGTTTTCGGACAGAACTTGGCTAGCTGTTTTTGATTTTTTTTTTAATGCTAAGCTAAGCTAACAGGCTGCCATAGCTCCAGTTCCAACTCTGCGAGAACTCAAATCAGCTTATTTTTTCCTCAAAATGTTGAACTATCTCTTTAAAGATGAAAGGTAAAAGTTGATTGGTAGGATCCCAAAAGATAGCACAGATGCAGATGGAGGAAAAAAGAATGTATAGATGATGTGAGCGGACACTTTTCTGTTAAATGAGGAGTTGTGAAATTCACCTACACTGCTAGTCAGATGGGCTGTTGCACCTGTATGATACAAACATAAATAAAGGTTTCATTCTAAAATTAAGCCAAAAATATTAACTTACTATTTTAATCACTGCTTTTTATGTCGAATGTAATTTTGGAATGAAACCCTTCAGCGTCAGTAAGGACTTTGTACGAGACTTCACCACAAACACAGTATTATGTTGCACAACTACAAATGAAAACACAGTATTCACAGTATTTCAGAAGCGACAGTGTTGTAATCATATGTGCTTTCGATGATCAGCAGTCAGATTATGACGCGTTGGCTGCAATGTTTCCATTGAATTTCAGGTAAATTGTTCCTTAGCACGACCTCTCATCCATCCCCACCACTCACACATTCCTTCATGGTGAAAGTATAGCACAACTTTTTTCATGTTGTTGTAACAGTTTTTTGGTATCAAATGAGTGATATTTTCTGCTTCATTAAAAAAAAAAAAGCTCAAGAAAAGTGTTTTCTCCTTTATTTTTACAAAAGTAGAACAAAACATGCAACTAAACTAAAATAAAAAAAGTTCTGCATCAGATATGTCTCAACAAATCCTGTACCATCATGTAATCAGCACTGGTAGTGGATGGTATTTGAGCTAGAATCAAACTGCTGACATTTTGTGTTCATGGCACGTCTCTCATACCGCTGAGGCCCCTGTGGTCTCCTTTCAGCCCTTAAGGGGAGCGGTCTCTGTGTCTGGATGTCCATCATGTGGGAGTTTCTTGTTCTGAGCGAGGCAGTTAATGCATCCACGCTGACAAGGACAGAAAATATAAGAGTCAGTACAACATTCACATACCATTTGTTTATCATTTACTTACCCTGTGTTACACTGTGTTGCTGAAGAAAGCTTTGTTTTTCTTACATGCCTCCATGGTGAAGAAGGAATCTGAAAACTTTGAAATTCTTTTAAAGAGTTGAAAGTCATAGAGGTCTGCATTTAACGACAGCAAAATTATATCAAACTGATCTAATATTGAAACTTCATCAATGCTCTCTTCGGAGCCAGACTCCATTGACAAAAATAGTGATTTTACCTCCATGAACACAGGAGCTGCTGGTCTACCACTGCCTCAATCAGTTAGTTAGTTTGTGTTATTGTGTGACTTTGGTGTTTTAAGGTTTAGCTCAGATTCACAGACCTGTATTATACTTGTGTATAACGGATGATTTGATATAGTTGTACAGCTGTTAAACACGGAGCCCTTTTACTTCAATTTATCAAGCATTTTCTTTGTTTTTGGATTCTTCGTTCATCGTGGAGGAGTGATTCGTATACAAATGGTCATTTGAGGGGTGACGTGCTCCTTTAAGTCAGTGGTTCCCAACTGGTGGGTTGCAGTCCAAAAGCGGGATACAGACACATTTTATTTTGAAGTACAGAGAATATCCAGCACAGAGATTTTATTATGAAGTGCTGTTTCCTGTTGTAGAGTGAGTGAATAAAGGACAGCTACTTAAGAGACAGCAAACTAGCTTGAGGAGAAATCTGGACCCCGTAGCTGGATGTAGATATCTTAGCAAAAAAACAAAAAAAAAAACACGATTATAGATGGATTTTATTTGTTACCTTCCGCAACAAGAAGCCAAGAATTGCCAACAACAGGAGCAACGCGATGACCGTCAGGAAGATTATCCACCAGGCAACTTTAGTGAAATATTTGACCTTTCTCTCGAGGAACACTGTCACCTTTACCTGCAGACAATGACATCATAAGAGTGGGGTTACTGAGGTACATCGACAGGTGAGTAACACTCAGATTACAATGCGTGGATTGCAGGATGACCCTTTTTGTTTGTTACTTCAGTGTGATGGTAGTTACTGCAATATTACATTGAGAACTGAAATTATTTAAGACCAAAATTTAGTTCTGTCCTCTAACACAACATATGCAAGTAATTTAACAGCATTAAACACACTTATGGTTTTACCTTTGTCCCAGGATTCTCTGGTTGAAGTCCAATATTCTCTGGAGAGTTTGTTAAAGTGAGAGTAGCATCCACAACAATGTCCAGGTAGTTCAAAGAGCTATAATCCTA